AATTAATAATTTCTCAACGTCAAAATGTGTATTAACAATTACTTTTTAATTAAAAAAAGCAACAGTCCTTAACTAATTACAATTAATCCATTTAGTATTTAAAAATATAACCTTTTTCTTAAATTTCAATTATTTATTTTTGTATAAGAAACAAATCGACTTTTAAAAATTAAAAAAAAAAAAAAAAACTATAATTTAATTGATTTTCATCATCGAAATTCGTATTAACATTTACATTTTAGGTCAAGCAACAATAAATCCATTCAGTACTCAAAATTATTTTTTGTGTAAGAAATCGACCATTTAAAATTTTAAAGTATAAATAAATTGTGATGTATAACCGTTATTGTGTATATTATTTTAGCCCTTATTATTTTATACATGTTTATTATATACATAAATTCATTAATATTTAGAACAAATACCACTAAGGAAGATCCCATAACTAAAAATTGTGTAACGACTATTCTTAATCACCATGTTGTGCACAAACTCAAAGGTCCAATCAATAATGACCACTAATATGTAAATCTGTCTAATTACTTAATGATTAGGGAAAGTTAGGTACTATCTTCCCTTACCAAAAATTGTACTCCCACTATGCTAATGCACTACTATATAACAGGATGTTTATGTAATACAAGCGGAGTCTTAAAAGAAGTCCTAAAAGAGAGTCCTAAAGGTAGACCAAAAAGGGAGTCCTAAAAGAAGTCCTAAAGGGAGTCCTAAAAAGAGTCCTAAAGAGTCAGTACTAGATAGGACTAGGTTAGTCCAAGTTAGTTTTAGTCTTAGTGGAGAGTCCTCCCAAGTCCTAGTTAGACTCATAAAAACCCTAGTAACAAGTCTAGCAACTGGAATCTAGACATAGAAGTTATTAATAATCTTATAGTGAATAATAAAGTGTTTATTATCATAAAAACTCCAAATTCACCTCTAGCATTCCTTAAAAACTCCACTAGGACTCCACAACGACATAACTACGAGATATTCCAGAGATATTTGAATCCTGGGACACGACAAAATTGCCAAACAAAATTAATTGATTCTCATGTTCGAAATGACGTATTAACAATGTTAGTGTCAAAAAGCAACAGTCCTTAACTAATTGCAATAAATCCATTTAGTATTTAAAGAAGAAACGTTTTTCTTAACTTTAAATTATTATTTTTTTGTATATCGTAAAAACATATTTTTAAACATAAACCATGGATACAATTATAATAAATATCATTACATAATTTATATGAATTACGACTTGCGTATAATATTTTTAAAAGTTTTGTTACTTAATATGTAATAAATATGTACACATTGCTAGAGTATTTGAACGTAAATTATTGCCGTATGCATGCATCGCCGCTTTACGACTACAACAGAACTTCTCTCACCAAATCTTTTATAACTTTGAAACTTCTCCCTCACCTCTAATATATTTATTCACCCCTTTCACAAAACTTTTTAACACTTACATCTTAAGAACGTTTTAATCCCATCGATTTTGATTCTACCTAACTTTGACAAATTAACATATAATACAGATACAATTACCAAAAATATTGCTATATATTTTTTATCTAAATTTGTAATAAATGTTAAATTCTTAGATTTAGAAAATTTGTTACTTTTCGATAGAATAATTAGAACTTTCTATAATATTAAATATAATTTTATTCGTTTCAATTATCCATTATGAGCACTTCAAATTGTCATAAAAGAAACGTTACCATTTCTATTATGAAGTAATAGTTTATATTTATAAAAACATTTATATATAAATATAATTTGATTTTTTTTTTATTGTTGAAAATTATAATAAAATGTAAATTATATAATTGAAAGAAAATTAGGTACGTTTCTAATTAATCTAAGAAAACCTATTTTTATTAATTGACGAAATTTAGTAGAGATATTATTCAACTTAAATATAAATAAAATGTAACATTCTTGAAGAATTACTTTAAATTGTTGTGATATTTTTTATTTAATTTGTATATATTACTTCGTGTTTCTCTTCTGTGACAATACAAATCTTGTTTAAGTTAACATATTTTTGAATTAACAAAATTCAGAAGAGAAATTGTCAAATAAATGTATTTATCGAAACTAATTATTTTAAACTTTTTCAATAAAAATCATGCATTTTTTTATATTTGTCTTAATTTTTATTTATTTAGATGAAAAATCACCTTTTTTTATTATTAAATTTTAAATATTTATTGGCAATGAATAGGAGCACCTTCTGTTACGTTATTGTAGATGTGTAACGAGACGGTATTGCTTTTATTCCGAGAAAATGTGAAAGTGAATTATGGAAATGCATTCCGACGTTAAGGCCAAAATAATTTAGTTTGATGCAATTGGAAATATATACTTTATCGTAGGTTACATAATGAATGTTCTCGTGCACACACACACACACACACATTCATAACATACAGCACAGCACCACCAACATCTAGATGCGAGGCGGAGTTTTGCGAGGAGCGAACTATGCGATGTGAACTGTGTATGAGGTGAAAGGAAAGCAATTACACATATTATATAAATCCCATATTAATTTCGTTAAAAATGTCGCAACGACGTTGGTGGTAATAATACAAGCACGATGTTCAAAGAAATTGCATGATAACATTGACTTTTAATTTATACTTTATTTTCATAATCATGAAATCAAGAGACTTCTAAACAGTTTACAAATGTTAAGTAATATGTTTTGAAGATACAACTTGGAAATGAAAACAAATATATTTATAGTTTAAGAACTGAAAAACTTTGAAAGTTAGTTTTTTTTTGTAATTGATATAGATTTAATACATAATTTTAAAAACTTAGGAAAAAAATCTTTGGTCGATAGACTTTTTGGTAAAAAGGACTAAAAATACTCTAATTTGATTTTCTTAATTGTAAATAATAAATTAATCGCTTTTAATCAAAAAATAAAGTCTTCATACATTTACAATACTAAACTAAATCGCTTTAAGTATAATTAATTTGATGCTATAATTAAAGATAATTGGTAAATTACGTACGGGACACGCATAATATTAAGCAGGATTATCCTTATGGATAATAAATTAGTTTCATTTACTACGCAACTTGACTAATTTCGATAATTATAAAATGGCTTTAATGCAGCTGTATCCGAGCAGTAACGATTTATCGTCGTCTGCAAAGTAAAATCGATGACAAATCTTTAAGTTCTTTCAGTTAATAACCACAGAATATATTGAAAATAATCCAATAATTTTTTTTTTCAAGGTAAAATTTGTTGTGCATGTTTTGTTTCGCTTCAATTAATATAGTTAACGCCTCAAGTTCAAGTTTAAATTTGATTACCTGTTCTTCCGGCATTCTCAATTTGTATCTATTTCACGCTCTGAATATTTACATCAATTGAAATTATAAACGTCTATCAAATATTTATTAAACATTATGTAAAAACCGAAATAGACCTGTTTTTTAGTACATAAATCATTTTATTATCATCAGACTTTTGTAAACGATTTAATTTATATACAATTTTAGAGGAATCAAGTCTAAATAACTTTGAAAGAAATGATTAATTAAACTTTTCTGATATCAACAGAAATGATCTCAATTCTGACAACTTTTCTCATAGGTTTCTTAAGAATAGAAGATAGCTTAACATTAAAAAATATGAGAAATTCAGAGATTTCAGTTCAATTAAATTAGGATACACCAACAAGAACTTTCAATAGTTTATTTTAGTTCTCAAAGAAATTATAAATAAAGAACTTCATAATATTTCAGTAATTCTAGTCTAAATATTAGAGATTGATTAGACTTATTGTGGACATCATTAACAAGCTGAAATATCAAGGAGTTTTAAGTGTATATTGTAAATTTCTTAAAGATATTAGGAAGATAACTTCTCAGTAAATTCCAAGTTTATTGCAATTTTCACAAATTATAAATAGAGATTTGCCATTAATTTGAGAATGTCTAGTACAAATATCTAAGAGATATTGTAGTCATATCATGGATAGCTTTAATACGATATAATTTCAATAGTTTCTTGTATATGTTTCTTAAAGAAACTAAACAAATAACTTTGCATAAAATTTCAATAATTCTAATCTAAATGTTAGAGATAGATTTAACCCTCTGCAGGGCCAGAAATTTCTAAATTTCTAGACTCAACACATTTCTAGAGAACTGAATCAAACAACTTCGTCAACTGAATCAACACAAGATAGTATGGCCTATCAAGATTCATCGTTTGAATCAAATTAAAGGGTAATTTTTCCTCAACATTTTCTAGAAAATTATAATAATGTCCCACTAGACATGTTCAGAGGGTAAAACAATGCATGTCCCACAGCCCCTCAAAGAGTTACGACATATCATGGACATGTTTAATAAGCTGCAATATCAAGAAGATTTAATAGTTTATTGTATATTTCTTCAGAAATTTTAAAAGAGAGATTTTCAACAAATTTCAAGTTTATTGTAGTTTTTCCAAATTGTAAATAAATATTTGCGTACAATTATAGGAATTCAAGTCCAAATATCTAAGATATCAGATATATTATAGATATCATTAACAATGTATAATATTAAGAACTTTTAATAGCAAATTGTATCCCTTTAAAGGAAATTAAGAAGTTAACTTTGCATCGAATTTAAATGAATCTAATCCAAATATCTTAGACATAGATTACAGACATATCATGGATATAATTAATAAGATACAATATAAAGAACTTTTAATTTTTTATTGTAGATTTGTTAAGGAAATATTAAGATAGGTTTTCATAAAATTCCACAACAAATCCATGAATTCAATTCTTATGTCAGAGATAAATTGATGACATATTTTATTATTAATATACTACATCAAAATATTTCAATAGAGGCAGTACAGTTGTTTTTTATGGTTTCTCAGAGAAATATGAAAATTACATAAAATATTAATAAAAGTCTTAAGTTTTACCACATTGTTGTGTTAGTATTTCATGAAAGAATAATGTAAAATTTACCTGAAAATTCCGCAATAGCCACTGGCATTATCGAATCCTTGATCTGGGGGAACGACCCTATCCAAGAATTTTGGTGTTAATGCCAAAGATGCGACCGCCGCCAATAACCATTGATCCCCGAGTTCACCGGACTCCACGGAAAAGCGAAGCACGTCGTTGGCGTTTTCGCTTATGAATCTAGGTCTTTGGCACATTTCCTGAAACGAAAGAAAGAATATAAAAAGTGGTAAATGACCCTGAATAGAAAGAGGCATATGCGAGATGGAAATTGGTCAAACGAATTGCATAAAATTACGAATCGCATGGGAAAGATGAAATATGATTTGCGTGTCTGACCCACTGAAACTTTGACCCGACACATTGACCAAGTCTTTGGATGCAGGTGTCACAGCATCACTGCGAGTGGAAGAAGAGACGGCGGTGGTGGAGAAGGATGAAGAGGAAAGAAAGAGTAGGAGGAGGCATCGATGTCGTTGCTGCATTTCTCGGTGCGTCCTCGCCTTTAATTGCGTCTTCCTTTTTATTCCGGGCAGCAGAGGCAGAAGCAGAACCAGTCTTCGGATTAAGTACAAGAACCTAATTGAATTTATTTAAGATTCTATTGTATATATGGATAAACGCGGGGTTTATGATGCGGCATTTAACGATCGTCAGGCATCCGATAATTATCCTTTAGCAATTAGATCGCAAAGTTCCAATCGAGCGGGACACCGGAATGCGTGTTGCGTAAGATCTTGACGGCGTGACCTTTATTTCAGGCGCATCATCTGCACTTGACCTCACTTCTTCTCTTCCCTGAACTTGGCATCCGTCGGGTCGGAAATTTACGTCGTTTTCCGTATACATACACATTGTCTCTCACTTGTTATACACGAGAAATTACATTGTACATAGGCATAACACGGACATATTTCACGCAATCATATTTCACGTGGAGAGATGTTTGCACTCGTGTGCGCACGTTCGGTTACATAATTTACGGAACTCGAAGGGAAAACTCCAAATGTACAAGACGCATAAAACCGACAATTTGTACGAAGAAAACTCATGAGATTTATTCAACTTTTTTCTCTTGTTTGTTGCATTTTTCAAGCATCTCTGTTTTTGCGGTCATTCTGTCGGACATTCTGCACATAATTTATAGTCAACATCTTTGCAACTTTGTAACTTTCACATTCATACACATTTCTTTACAAACAATTCAATATAATTTATTTCAATTTTTTTCCCGGATATTTTTTTATTCCCGGGAAACGAGAAATCAAAAAATAGTTTGAAAAAATATTATTATTAAATTAATATTATTATTTAAATTAACAAAAAAATAAACAAATAATTCAAACATATTTTAATTACATCAAAATTGATTAATCAAATTATTAAAAATGTATATTTCTAATTATTCAATAATTTAACATAAAATTACTGTAATTTTATTATTTATGGATAATGTAGAAATGATTAAATAATCCCAAATCTAACAATTTTTCCATTTTTTTTTTTGAAGTTTTTGAAAAACCTAATAAATATATTTTTGTAAATTTAAAGTATATTTAAAAAAACTACTATTTTATTAATTTTTCTATAAAAAAAACGTTTTTTCTTAATTCAATATATTACTTTGTTAACAATTCTAATTAACAATAGTTGTATTAAAAATATATAATAAATCATAAATTTTATATTTCTACATGTAATTTTCATGTTTCCTGTATTTACATTGAAAATGTCATGTAAATATTATTGGAGAATTCGCAAAAGAGTAAAGGAAAGTTTTACTTGGAAGAATCAATAATTATGAAAATAAAGTTTGTTTTCATACCGGTTTTGCACTATTAATTATTAATACCTTCGCTTGCATGCGTTTACTTAGCAATAAGTTATAGCTTGATGACTTCAAGTAAATAAACATAAGTAGTAAAAGACACAATACGGTACTTGGACATCGGTCAACCGACTTGGACAGTTAGATGCATTCACATACACACACACACATACAATTTTCTCCGTTCAATTGAATTCATATAGAAAGAAATTGCGAAGAAAGCAAATACTTAAATAGTTTCAACAATTTATGTTTCGATTGAATATAAGGAGATGCTAATGCAACGCCCTGAAACTAATAATAGAGAGGTCAGCACTTGTACGGATATGAATTATGAATTGAAAATCAATATGTAAAATGCATTTAAATTCATTTGATAACTCTATTATGTATTAATATAAAGTATTGATTAGTTTATCATTTAAACGTAATTTATTATGTTACTATCATTTTTTGTACTTAGTTTTAAATACAAATTATTTGTTTGCAATAAATAGAATTAAATATATAAGTTGAAATTATATCTCTTTATTTTAAACTAATGTTAATTTTTAATAATTGAAATAATCTATTAATTTAGTGTTATTAAATTTCTATACTTATTCACAATCAGAGCTTTCACACACTTTTAGTTAAATTTTATTTAATAAGAAAATTATTCAAAAAATATTGTAAAAGTTTTTTTTTCCATCATTTATTATTTTAGAATTATATATTCATTATTAAATGTATTTCAATAGAGAATAGATTTATAAAATATAAATTTTGATAAATAATACTATAAAATATTAGTAAATAATTATTAGAACAATTATGAATATTCGATCAAAGATATCTCCGTTATTTATATTGTAAATTTGACGATATTTGTGTATAATGTACAACTTATTAATTTTGAAGACAAGATTACAAATATCTAAATTTGTATGTTTCACTTTGAAAAATATGTATATTTGAAGACCACTGCTCTATTTATTATGTATTGTCAGCACGTGTACCTATATGAATTATAAATGACAAATCAATATGTAATATGGATTTAAGTGCACTTGATAACTCTATAGGAGCTCGAGGAACCCTGCAGCTGGACTTGTGTCGTAAGAGGTGTTTTTCTTGTCACCTCTCACGCGGTATAAAATGTGTCACGGAGGATGAGGATGAAAAAGAGAAGAAGGAGGATGTGTAACGTGAATAATTTGAAACGAACGGTAGGCTCGCACTTCAAAAATGGCAAAACTGTTATATTTTGCAGGAATCTATTACCCGTTTCGCAGTACGCCGGAGAATGTAATATTATCTAGCGGAAAAAGAACGGTCGTTTCCGCGTATCGAAAGTCTCGTATGACCGTCATCGTCATCGCAATGCAGCAGCAGCTTCTTGTGCCAGTAATCTTTGAGACGTTTTCTAGGTGAGGTCTAGGCCTCATCCTAATCGACCGATACGAAGAAAAAAAAAATGAAAAAAAGCAACAACAACATTGCATAACAGCTCCGCCGATTTGTACTGCTCTCTTTTACCCATTTGCCCGCGCAACTACACAGGACGCATAAATCAAGTCTCCGTCGTTGCGTAATGACAACGATACGGTTTCCTCTTCGCTTGGCGCTACGCCGTTCCTCATCCGCACCGAAATCGGTGCCAAACGGGGTGAGAGAGAGGTGTTAATAGAATGCCATGTATCTGTTTCGATGCATCTTTCGCCCGAGGGAAAAGTCCGCGACGAATTTATGTACTTTAAGATTCGATCGTTAAGTGTGTGTGCGTCCGCAATAAAATGCATCGCTTTTATTACCATGTCCTTTCCATCTGGTATTCTCCTCCTCCTCATCATCATCATCTCCTTCTCGATTTTATAACCTCGTAATGCTACCTCCTAAGCTAATGTCTCAAGTTCGTACTTACATGCGGCCTCATCCAGATTATCGGGCTGAAGGGCGGCTTCTTGTGATGGTACAGAGCCTTCGGTCCCGACTGGAAATCTGGGTCTTCAAACAGCGTACCTTTCTCTCTGCACATCCGTTTAACGGCTTGATAACTGTTTTGGTTGCGTTGTCGTTCGTTTGTGCAATATCTATGAAACAAAAAAAAATAACGACTGTTAGAGCTAAACATACACGATATTTAAATTTAATTACTAAAGCCATTCGCGAATAATAAAAAACAACGACTTCTAATGCTCAGTTGCTTACAACTTTACATCCACGTTACCTGGATAATCGCTTGTTAAAAACATTAATTTATATATTTGACGTCAAATTATTAAAGCATAAATCAACGAATTGTGAAGACAGTTATGACCATGATATTATTATATAAAAATCATGGTTATGACCATACTAATATTTGTCATTATTTCTTTAAGGACAGTGTTTATTTATTTCCTATTTATAGCAAAATTAAAGATGATTCATTGCGTATAAACATTATGCTACCATTCAATTGTCAGTCAAGTAAACTAATAATTATACGTAACGGAAAGATTAGACTAAAATAAAGATATTTCAGGATTTCCAACTTAGTTTTTCTTAATCATTCACCATTCAACTTAACTTAAAAATGTACAAATTCCACATTTTTTTTAAAGATGTATTTGATTCCTTTCTCAAATACTCAAATATTTCTCACATTTTATATAGTAATACTACTGAAACTTGATTATAACAAAATAATAATATTTTCAAGAAATTTTAGAAATTGTATACATCTTTATCATTTAGCTTATATTTAATTCAAATTTTTACATTCATTTTAGTGAGATTACAATATTCCTGTTAAATAAATCTATAATCAAATAGTAATTGAATTCATACTCAAATATCTCACATACTTTATAACTTAATAACTGAAACTGGATTTTCACTGTCGTGTGACAATTTATGTTGGTACAGCTGCGTATTTGACAACAATCTTAACTTATTATATGAATATAATTAAAAAAAAATACTACTAAAAACTAACGTTTAAATTTGATGTTTTTTGATAATGAGGTTACATTTCATAATTTTCTTAAAAGTCTAAAAAAAAGTCAATGAAAGTCCTTTATAATATTAGAATACATTTTCAGACTTATATATCAGTACAACAGAAACTTGAATTTTACTGTTGTGTGAAAATTTGTGTGACAGTTGTTGCTACAACTTTGTGTTTGATACGAATCTTCACTTATTAGAAGTAGTGTGTAGGCACCATTAAAAACCAATAGTTTATTTTTTCTTGAATCTCAATTACTTATTACTATAATGAATTTGATATATTTTTTTAGTTAACAAAGTTAGTATGTTTGTTTGTAGTTGTACTGCGACTAGTTTTTGTAAGCATTTCCTCGCTTTGACAGCTGTCATTTCGTGACGCAATGGCTTAGAATTTTTGTTTTAGAGGATTTGCTTTATTATATTACATTTTGATATTGTTAATGAAAGTTGGAAATCCATGATGATCGAAACGAATAATTTTTATTCTTTGATTAATATTTAAAGTGTACTTTAGGTCTTCGACCTAAGGTGATGTTTGCACAATTAGTGTGTAGTACGAGGATGGTAATACATATGACTATTAGCCAGTGTTTATTTATTTGTTCGGTGCATTATGCATGAGTACGTCATATCTCGTTTACGGTTCCTTGTAAGAAATCATTAGCGCTATATACCGAAGAAAACGTTTCTTTTTCTTTTTGAATTTCCTATACGCATGTGGAACGAGAATCGTCGTCGTCGTCGGCAAGAATAGAGAGTAAATAAGTAAGCTTCATTTCCGTTTTACATATGGAGACGTTCTCATAGCCATGACCCAGTATGAACGAAACAATGGCCAATTAAATGCGAACGAGCAGCAGCAGGAGGAGAGTGTTTTCCGTTTCTGGATCTGCAGGTCGAAAGGAATTGTAGAAGGCGGCGATTCCTCTCCACTTCTAATTCACCTCCACCTCTTTCTTCACTTCTTTGCATTGTGTTCGAACGACGGCCGGACCCGGAAGTGGATTCCCTCACGTGGTGTCGGCAGAGTGCATTATGGTAGAACCGTATTAGGTGTTATTTAAATCGCACACGGATTTGTAGATCGTGTTCACTAATGGAAAGTGAATAGATTTAATATGCGCATGCATGTTCTGCCGCACTGGCGCTAAATTACCTCGAATTATCCCCCCGAAGATTGTTGTTTATTATTTCTGGTTAGTGAGCTCTCCGAGCCTCAATTATTTTCACCCATTTTCTATCGAAATCCTATGATTTGCGGGATTTATGACTTCTAACTACTTACTTCTCTACCATCCGTGGACGTAGCGGACCTCCGTTCTGTCGAGGAAACGGAACCCCTCATCCGAGAAACCACGCATACTCCGCCGACACAACCGACCGACACATTTTCTACACTTCATATTTCAATAATTTTTCAATTTGAATTCATACAACTAGATCTATTTTTATATGTATCCAAACGTTTGCAATAATAAATACAGTATACTTCCCATATAACACGAATTCCTTTAACAAATACTTGGACAACTTTTTTTATGTAACGCGATGTTCAATGCAAGTAAGTAAATACTCGTATAAGACGATTTTATACAACATTCCCGTATAATTAAAAAAAAAGACATAGTAATTCCTGATATCAAAACAAAATTTCACTGCTATAAAATATTCGTTAAAATAGAAGATTTAATGAATAACAAAAATCTAATGATTTTATTAATGTTGATTAATTTAAATGCTAAACTTAGTAATATAAATCGGGGCCACATTTAGGTTGATGTGGGGCCCTAGGTACCAGTTCAGTAATGATGGAAGGAGTGAGTGAGAGTTAAGAGGTTGGTGGAATGTGGATATCTTAGCTACTTAACAAAAAAATATATACAGTGGAACCTCGTTTAACGAGTTTAATCCGATCCAAAATTTCCGGATTCTTACTCGTATAGTGAAACACGTTTACCTATATAAACTAATGTAAATTACGATACTGCGTTCCTTGCCGAAAAAAAACTATAACTTGGTCTCAATTTTTAATGATTTTGCTTTTCAAATCTATAATTCTTTTCATTCTTTGCCTTTTTATTTGGAGAAATGCAAGTGTTATTAAAATTTTGCACAAAAAACACAAATAACATGTGTGAACACAAGTTTGGAAATTTTATGATCACAAACAACACTAAGATGCAACTAGAATGACCAATAACACCAGGAACTGTTTTCATTACAATTAATTTTGCTCGTTAAGCAAAATGCTCGTTATGCGAGGTTCCACTGTATTCTAATTCAACTATTGTTCGTGGTCACCTATGTCCTGTTTCTAGTGTGTCTATTATAAATCAGGACCGCATTAAGATTGTCGTGGGTACTAGTCACCAGTTAAGTGATAACCACAGGGTGTGAGAAGTTTTGATTGGATTAGCAAAAAATTATATATTTTAATGCAACTATTTTTCGTGGGCCCCAAAAAATATTGTCAAGGGCCCACGTGTCTAATGTTAAAGATGACCCTGATATTAATAGCAATTAATATATAATGAAAGAATTAATAAAAATAAATAAGAATTTTAATGATTTTTTTCAATATAATAATAATTAAATGTTTGGAAAACCGCAATCTAGAAACACATATATGCATGCATGCATACATCAAAACATTGCTTTCTCAGACCTGTGGAATTCAAAGCATGTCCAAGAACTTGTGCTATAAATTCTGAGCGGATGTAAACACATGTGCGCATGCATATTTTGTATGAATGAAATCATTTGGTCAAGTGAATTCTACATCAGTGAAAAGAGAAAGGTAACAAGTATAAATTGTTTACTGCGACAATATTTTCGAAATCTGTTAACAAATTATTTTTATTTTTATACAATTACTTTAATTAATTACAGAATTATTTCAATTCTAATTACATTTAAATTTTTTGACTAATTTCATGTTGAGACTATCAGACTACAAATAGAATTCAAACAATTTAGAATTTCAAACAAGTTATTAAAATTTATAAGAATTTTAAATTGTAAAAAAAACAATGTTTCCTCGATTCCTGTTCAACTTTCAAGTAAGAATAGAATAGAAAAAGATCTATGAAATTAATTGTAGAAGATAAATATTTATATTTTAAAATTTTCTTAATTTAAATTATGTAAGAAGAGTTTTTATTGTAGCGTATATAATTTTACATTTACATCTATTACAAATTTTGTGCAACATTTTGTCAATTTTACAAAATATTTTACTTGTAAAAAATGTTGTATTTTTTTGGTTTCAAAGTATTACACATCAATTACATACGTCAATTACAAGTATAAATATCTAAGCTTTAATTTGAATATCTTAGCAGATTCATATCTACTATGATTTTCTTGTAATAAATTGTCAAACACATATGGGGAAATGTTTGACTTTAAAGTTGTTCGAGTTTCGAGTTAGAATTTGAAGATCATAAATCAAGTAAGTTCTAAAAGTGTTTTGAATAAATAAATCTTCTTAATTTCAATTATGTAACAAGTGTTTCTTATAGATATATAATTCAACTGTCCAAGGATGAGCCAATATCGTGGACAACACAGGACAAGGATCGAGATCATTAATGGTCCGGTTAATGCACCTGCTGCCACCACAACGTAAGCACTTTCAATTTCATCTTCTTCCTTCTTAATGAGGTCACTGCATCCATCAACAAATTGCTTAATTGCCGCACTTCTTTTATAGTTTCATTGCCATTAAAACGCGATGCATCGCAAACTCTCCGCTCTAGCATTAACGTGCTTACTACAAAAAAAAAAGTTTAAAAAGAGAGAAAGAGGAGAAAAAAGAGAATTACGAAAAAAAATATAAAAGAATATGGAAGGAAGAGCGGAAAAATAAAACAACGAGCGACCTTTATGAGAAGCTACCGATTCACACGATTCCCTTTTTCTTGTATTAGACATTTATAATTACCACAAAATCCCGGCCGAGCAACACCTGCTTTCGCGGTACGAGCAATCAGCGAGCCCCGAAGACAGACGGACGGACAGACAGAAATAGAACTCTGGAACGTTGTGGCAACACGAAAGGCACAATTTTATTGAATCTAACACATATAATTCCAATGGACGTTAAAATTATTAAATAATTAAACTCTTCCAATGCAGGTATTTAGTAAGATTCCTTTTTTTCATCCTTTCGCTCATCTCTAAGGAGGATACTTAAAGTCTAAGGAATCTCGAAAATATTATTCAGTCTGTTGTTTTTGTTTTACTTTATTCGTCGACATCCGCCACTTACGATCACGTTATTTATTTGAGATAATAATATGTACTTTCAGCGCATCTTTTAAGTTTTATCAATGTCTAACATTTCAACTTAATACATTTTATAATATTTAATTAGTTATTGGTCCATTACGATCAAACTCTTTCCACCCTTTTTTATTATATTAGCAGTATAACTCAAGAACTGCACATGCAAATTATTTATGAAAATACTCTAATTAAAGCCAAATATATAAGCTTTAATTTGTATATAATTCTAGATATTACAAATTGGACCAACTTTTAAAAAGATATTTTTGAATTGTAAAAAAAAAACTATTTTAGGTTTTAACGTATTACTCGACAACCACATATGTTAATAACCAGTATAAATATTTAAAATATAGAAAATATTCAATGCGTTCATGACATTTGCATCAGCTATGGTTTTCCTATAACAAATTGTTAAACTTGAAAAATATATTGTTAAAATGCAGTTTTCATTGTTTATTATTACTTAATAACCACGAATCAAAATTGAAATACTCTAATTAAAGTTATTTGTCTTTAATAATAAGCTATAATTTGAGTAAGCTATTACTATTACATCTTTTCCCGTTTTTTTTTTACTAAATTAATAATGCATTGTATCACTTTTTATCATATTACTCAATAACAACGAATTCTACTTATAAATATAAATGCACTAATTAAAGACAAATAAGAAGTTTTTCATTCAAGTGTATTGTGAGATTTTGTAGCTTTTGCTGTTTAGTTGTAATAAGCTGTCCAACATAAAAAAAATGATTATAAATAAAAATTCTTATTCTCAGCAATCACGAATAATAATTATAAATTTGAATACTTTAAAGACAAATATATAGGCTATAATTTAAGGAAACTATTATAATTGTATCTTTTGTCGTTTTCTAGTATCAAGCTGTCAAACTTGAAACAATATTATTTTAAGGCACCAAAAATGCAACAACTAGAAATATTAATTATAAACGCGTATAATCTAATTAAAGACAAATATATAAGTTTTAATTTGAGTGCACTATCACATATGTAGCTTTTACTGTTTTCTTGTAATAAGCTGTCAAACTTGAAAAAAAAAAAATATGTATGCACCTGTTTCAATTTGTAAATAAAATTCTAAACACGTAACTCAAAGAGATTAATAAGAACGTTACTGAAGCAAGGAGCAACCAGGTAATAGATATTTTTCTTGCAATATGTTCGTATTGATTTAATCTTTCCATTAGATGTAGAAGAAAAAAAGATGTAAAAGAAGGATTCGCAGGAAACGATGCACGTAAAAATGCAAATATATTGAACCGTTTTCTCGACAAGAAAAGAGAAAAAAGAAACATACGGAAACGGAAAACGTAAATGGAGCATAAATGTTATTATAGACGGTCCTTAAAACGGATCATACATCATAATTATGTAACCGCAATTGAATTTGTTCTGTTTCGTTTTTTCATTGTAAAGATATTTTGGTAATACACCAGTTTCTTTAGTTTTTTTTGTAAAAATATTTATTATTATTATTATAAATTTCGTAAATGAAGAACTAAAATTTTGTTGAATAACTAATTAGGATTTTAAATATCAAGATTATAACTAAAATTTAGAGTACAAAATAGTTTTGTTGCACAAATTACGTTTATTTTGACTTAAAGAAATGTGTGTGTGTCTGTAAGGAACAACAATTTTCTCGGCGCTTTTAGACGCCAAACCTGGTAGTATTACACTGCTGTTTAGTATCTGGCCATTGTCATCTGTTATCCTTATAAGTGCAGGTGAATCTGGTGCATAATTACTTGAGCCTGTAACTAAATCTTGCGCGTTTAAATGCAAACGATGGGAAAACCCGGAACGCAAAGTACTCACATTATGCAGAGACCGAGGAGGAAGGAGAATGGACGAAAATGAGTGGATCAGTGATTGCAGCAATGTTTTCTCATCGACAGAATCGAAATTTACGATACGGAGAAGTCGTCGTAAGGATAATATGAATTTGTCGAAATATCGCTGACAGTATTCTTCGAGTCCAAACGCGACAGATCATAGTTAACCTCGCTGATCACAGTCTCACCAAACTTATCGTAAACCCTGCTCTGCTCTCGCAAGATGTGCTGCTTCCTCTTGAACTCATCGATCTGCGTTTGAAGTTCCCTGCAATCCTGCTCCGACTTCATTATATCCTCCTTCAGCTTAACGTAATACTTCTTCACCTCGTTCGAAGTGTTGCTCAACTTCTGGATGCTCTCTGCGGCCATGATCACTCTACCTTTCGAAGATTCTATATCAGTTTGTTTCCTATCCAACTTGAATTTCAATACATCCAACTGAAGATCGATTTCGGCGGGATTTGCTAATTTTATGTAAGGTTTAGGTTTGCCATTTGCATCGAGGACGAAACGATCCCTGAATTTTTGGAAATCGCCAGAGATGAGGAAGAGGAACAGCACCACGCCGCTGGCTGTAGCCAAAACGATTGAAAACAGGAACACTAACATTTTGATTATTGTGACACACGTTTTTGACACTCCCGGCTGATCTCTTGTTTTATTTCATTTTATTTATTTATTGTTCGTTTCTAAGTGGCGCGGATTTACTATTTTTTTTGATATATATAGAAAACTCATCGAAAATGCAACGATTTTATTAATTACGGGAGGAATCGGTGAAAGTTGGCTGCAACAATTGGATTAGTTTTGCTTTTAATCAAGATTTGATTGCTGTCTAGATTGATTGCAAAAAAATGCTTGGGAATGTCTGATGAAATACGAAAAAAATATCACATTCTTTCTATTCACATGATCCCATTTCCAACAATTTTATTTGATTTTCTGTGACTTAAGTAATATATAAAAAATAGATATAAATCTAATGATTTTCTCTTAAAATTTTTGTATTTTTTTTTTAAATAGGAAGGAAATCTAAAGAACAATTCTATATCTATTGATGACTGCAATATTAGGATGTAAAATATAGTGTAAACTACTAATAATTGAGTAACATTGAAAGACATCGAAATTTTATAAAATCTAATATTTATAAATAAAAATATTTTTAATTTATTGAACAAATCTCAAAAACTTCTAAAAAATAAGTGTGTATTCATATTAAAGATAGTGTAAATAATTTCGTTATAGTCAACATAGTTTGATTGAAAATACATGGAATTTTCTAATGTCTTTTATAAACAATTACTATTTATATTCTACAAATTTTATTAAATTTTCAATATTTTAGTAGAATTATTTAATATTAAATTAAATTCTTTTTTAAAATTTTGATGTACTTCGAAAAAAAATATTACTTCTTTGCTATTAATATCAAAATTTTAATGGAATTTCAATGTTTTCATTAAAAATTGTCTATAAAAGTTTTTAATGTATTTCATAATAAATTAATGATAGAAAGCCAATAATTCAGTATGCATATTAAAGGTAATTCTATACAAAATTGACATCTAATCATGTTTCGATTGGTGTCGAGATTGATTGAAATAAAACTAAGGAATGTCTGATTTGATTTGATCAAATATCACTTCTGTACTACAAATTTGATCCAATTTTAATGGAATTTCAATGTACAAAGTAATCATCTCAATAAGATTCCAGTAATTTGCTATTAAATGTAAACCAGAAAATGTTTGTATTTTCTAAAGAAACTATGTCTTTAAATTTTTAGTAATTTCTTAAGATTTTTATAAATTAATAACAAATATAGCTTTAATATACAACTTTTTTGGGTCTATATCGTAAGCCCGACAACCGAAAGACCGTCTATTGAAATCGATCTATTTCGATATAGTCGGGATTTTGATTATGGTAGTCGGGATTTTGACATAGTCAGGATTTCGATACACTCGGGATTTCGAACATACGGATTTCGGTTGTCGGGCTTGCGATTGCCACCGAACTTTTTTTTACTAGGTAAAAATCTATAGATTTATATAAATTTCATATCTAAATTTTACTAAATCTAACTTAATTTTACCTCACCTAACCTAACTTAATATGATGTGTTTTAACCTAAATATACATACACTTTCTTTTTCGAGAAAAAACTTTAGTAGGAGTTGTAACCTAAGTTTTCCATACATAAACTGTTTTATTCATAAATTATTGAAATAAAAAAGAATCACTTCATATTAATATTAATTCTCAATTATTAAATTAATGTATAAAGATAATTAAGTTAGTATTTAAATTAATCAAATATTATATAATATTTTCAATCGATTTTATCGATTCCATTTTTTTTTATTTGTGTTCTCGGATCGTGTTGTTCGTTGCCTTTTGAAGAAATGCAGAAGTGTTATTACGGAATAAAGATCAGGTGGTGGTGCGAAGAAGGAGAGTACCAGAGAGGGTGGCCTTGTCTGTGCAAAGGAACTATAGCACATTGAATGCTGTTAATTGACTTAACGCTTATATCGACCTACCGCGGATCACATAAATCAGTTCATCTAATTGTGGCCGCACCGAACGTGACCGCATTATATACGGCCCCATATATTTATAATATCTTTATCATTTTCCAACTTTATAATTTTCACTACTTCTTTCTTTTCTCAACTTATTACCAAGCTTTTAAGCTTTTGTTTTTCGCTTTTTTAAATATACTTCTTCATGTCTACGTAACGATCGAAACACGATGAGGTGAGTTTTAACATGGAATCTATATGAGATTTAAATGAAAACTGTAAGAAATAAAATTGAAATTCAATGAAAATTATTAATATATTTATCATTTTTCAACTTTATAATTTTTGATATTTACTTTTTTTATTGATTGTCTCAACTTATTACCAAGCATTTTTCTTGTCTATGTAACGACTGAAACACTATGAAGAAATTTTTTACTTGGAATCTACTTGGATTTATAAGAAAATTATCATGAATTAAAATTTAAATGTGGTAATTTTTATCAGTTTCCACCGTTAAAATTTTCAATATTTTCCTTTCTTATCAATGTGCTATTATTTTCCACCGTTATAATTTTCACGATTTTCTTTTTTTCTTCTTCCAACTTATTATCAAGCTTTTAAGATCTTGTTTATACTTATTGTAAGTATATTTATTCATGTCTACTTAACGATCTAAATACAACGTGATATTAATTTCGAATCTATTTAATGTTTTTTTATTAAATTAAAAATTAATTTTATAATTTTCACTTCTTTCTTTTTTTCATTTCCTAACTTATAATATTAATATTTTGTTTCTCACTTATTCTAAGTTTATTCTTCTTTGTGTAAATTTTAACTATAAACCTATACGAGTTTTAAAACAGGAAATTATTATAAACAAATTGATAATTATGAACTTTAAATGAAATATAATTAGCACTAATTAATTATATGTAAAGTCCATGTATTTCAATTCATTATAAAAATAACAATGAAGTCTTGTACATCATGTACTTGTCGTTATTTTTTAAGAATGTTTTAAGTATTTTTTCAAAACCAGTCAAGTTCATCATTTTCTTCAAATTAGTACGAAATAATGACTAAACATTTATTAGAAATTCGTACAAAAACATCAAAATAATTGATATTTTATAGAATTATGAACTTATATCAACGAACTTATTAATGGACTTCTTCAATCTGGATTCTTGACTTAAATGAAATGAAAAAAGTATTCTTAAATTTTTATTTGAATATATTTAGAAAAAAAAAATATAAATTACTAAAAAAAACATGTTGTATAAAGTAGAATCATCAATAGACATATTATTGTTAATTCCTGAAGTTTTTTCTTTCTGGATTCTTGACTTTAGCAATGATTTGTGTGTGTGTGTAAACCGACGATAAAAGCAAAAATATCGAATATGCGAAAAAACGCAGTGTTCTCATCTTCGACTCTTCCGAAGGGTTCGCTATAAATTTCTGCCTGCGAAGCGCGTGTAATAATATATGGAGGTCAATTTAAGGTCGAATGTGTCGAATACGTGTGAGATCCTCAGTTAATGCATCGTTTCCTGGTTTAGTTTAATATTAAATTAAGGCTCAACTGCAATGTGCCGTTTGTATACGTACGTATGAAAGTAAATGTGCACATGTGTGTATGTGTACGTATACGTATGAAGTTAGAGGTGAGTATGTGTGTATATTTTCAGGACTTCAGCCCGATGTTCGCATATATGTGTGTATGTGTACGAGCAAAGCGTACGCGACCTATTATCATTTAATGCTACCCATGTATCATCATGATTTAATATATGTACTTATGTGCACTTTGTGTACCTTGTAAATTATCTCCCTTTCTCTCCATGTGTGCGTATGTGTATGGTGTGTGTATATATATAAAAGCTAAACTATCCCATCCGCACTTGTACTACTTTATTTGCTTTATTAAAATTTCTACCTAAATCTTGTACTCAACTCAACTAAACACAGCAGATATTTCATATTTATACCTCGTTAACCCGACCACAATGTTACCCGGAGAACTTACTACTTTGGAAGCGTGTTTCCCTGAACCCTACAAACAGATATATCCATTCGCATCGAGCACCTTCCTATTATTTATTTTATTTTTTTCATCATCCTCCAGCACTTCCTTCGTAGTTCCCCGCAACATCCATAACTTCTGATTATTCAATACTTATTATTATTTTCGCCGAGGCGAACGGTTCTCAAACCCTTTTACAAGTGAATCGACGTTTTATTGAAGCACGTGCTCTTATCCTAATGCATCCATAAAATATGTTATTAGACCCAACTCAATAGACATCTGGAACTGCAATTACTATACCTAATCGACCCAACTATTACCAATATGCTACCTGTTTTATTTCCCACATTAATTTCATATATCTTATATTTTCTTCAATCAAAAATAAATTTAAAAAAAGCTACTTTATACAAAATATACATATTAATTCTTGAACACTTATATAATCTTTGTAAATACAATTAACTACAATAAATCAATTACTCAGTGACGTATCTAGAAATATTGGACTTGTCCATTAAAACTGTTTAATACAAAGACATAGTAGAAGCAATACTAAAATTGTCGTGGGCCCTAGACACCAATTCAGTAGACATTTCCAAAGCTTGGGCCCCTCGATACTTGTGGGCCCTTCCTCATTGCAGATCCTACTTTGTGTTTGAGAAACGATGAATCACAGCTGCTTTGAACGTTGAAACAGTCCTTATTGGGTCACAAAATCAGTTGCCAACATTAGATAAGAGAGTAATACAAATTTAGTTGTAAATTTGAAAATATTTTTTTTTTTGTTTTAATTGTGCACGAAATAAGTTCATTTCGCACATTGTAAAAGAGTAATAAAAAATGGCAATTATCATAAAAAATGTTGTGACGATACTGAACATAAAAGTCTATACCAACGTTTCCCAACGTGGGAGTAATTTAATTGTTAAGGTGGCCAATTCTAAAAAGGATACGGTTAAAGTTTAAACGGTTGGCGTATTATGTATATATTACATAAGGGGCATAAGGATTTTAGAAAGGATTTGTTGGGGTATGGCACAAAAAGGTTGGAAATCACTGGTCTATACCATTTAATAAATAATATATTATTTTGTTAAATTCAAAATGAAAAGTTTTTTTACTAAGTAGAATTCGTAAAGAGAGAAAATTTTTTGAAAAATGTATCGTTGGAAGTTAAACTATTATTAAAAATTGAAAATGTTCTCATAAAACTATGAATGTTGTTGAATTTGTAGAATGAGAACAACCATTTAATCTAGTTCGAAGTTCAACTATAGTTAGAAATTGAATAATGATTATTAAAATTAAATTGTAAACAAGGTAATTTGAGAACAACTTTTTGAAAAATTTCTGCTTAGAAAAATTAAAAATAATAATAATGTTTATTGTAATAATATAAAAAAAAATATAATATTTCGACAAAAGGACTATTGACTATAGGTCTTTCTTCCCTAATTAAAAAGATTTTTATTAAAACATGAATGTATCACTAAGTAGAATTTGTATGATGAGAGCAACTATTTAAAACAATTCTAGTTGGAAGTACAACTATAGTTAAAAATTGCAAAAATAAATAGAAAAAAAATAAATAGTTTTTCAAAAAATCATAAATGTATCAGTAATTTAGAATTCAAAGAAAAATAAGAATTTGTAAATTGTGGACAAGTTTCTCGTTAGAAGATTAAATTTTGTTAAAAATTGAAAAATTAAAAAGTTTTTTTTTATAAAAGCATACATATAAAGGGTGTCCCAAAATAAACGCAAGATTTGAATTTGTCCTTTGTGCAGTGAAGTGTCAAATTGTTTTTTTGGAGGTTTCCAACATTTTACTGCACAAAAGGCGGCAAATTCAAATTTTGCGTCAATTTTGAGACACCCTTTATTACTAAGTAAAATTCGTAAAATGAGAATTTGAAAATATTTTTTGCTATAAATTCAACTATTGTTAAAATTGAAATATGAATATAAAAACTAAAAAGTTTCTCATAAAATCATAAATGTATCATTAAACAGAATTAAAAAAAAAAAAACAATAATTTGAAAAAATCTTCTGAAAACTTCAAATATTATTAAAAATTATAAATAATAGAAAAGCTTTTTATAAACTCATAAATGTATTACTAGGTATAATTCGTAATTCGTGTTTGAAAAATTGAAAAATTAATAGAATAATTGCAAAAGTGAGATCAAATTTTTGAAAATATTTTTGATATAATAAAAATATTGTGAAAATTAAAAAATAAAACAATTAATAGAAAAATTGAAAAGTATAAATAAAGGGTGTTCCAAAATTAACGCAAGATTTGAATTTGCCGCCATTTGTGCAGTAAAGTGTTGGCACCCCCAAAATAACAATTTGACTAAAAACTGTGTTTTCTATTTAATTCAAATTTTGCGTTAATTTTGGGACAGTCTTTATTTAACTAAGTAGAGTTAGTAAAATGGGAATTTGTAAAGAAAGAAGTTATAAGTTTAATTATTATTAAAAAGTTTTATATTTAATTTTTTAAATTAAATTTTAAATAAATAATTGTATTAAGAAAAGACAAAAGTTCTTTAATTATTTTAATCTGTTAAATGTAATTAATATTATTATTGAGTAAAGAAATAAAAACACTCTGAAGATTGCTTACACTAAAATGTATAAAGTATAATGTATAAAGTAGTTGTGTTTCACTTTACATGCGTGCATTAATTGTATTCTTTATATATCTAATGAAAGCATACCCATAGTCAGTATAATAAGACTCCTTGTTTTCGAAGCACAGATAGTTAGTTTCTTCAGTTAAGTGCAACGTAATCCGATCCGTTGACTGCGGGCGACAACGTAAAAACATCCGACAAAACGATAATATTCAGGCACCAAATTTAGATAAATTCAAATACCACAAACCTAGATAATGTAGATTGTTTATCTTCTGCTTTATTCGCGTGTCCGTTCATCCACGCTCTACCATTTACTGGGCCTGCGAACAACAAAAACAAAACAATTTTATTGTTGAATAAATTCTGCACGCACACACTCAAACATGAAAAATGTATACAAACATAACGCAGCACTCAACAACAAACAAGCGCGTTCGTGCGAATGCGAAAATAAATCGTTACATAACGCCATTAAAAAATCTTCTAATTTGTTATTCAAACGAGGGAATGAATTAAAAATCGTATATGTATAAATGTGCATAGAGAAACATTGCACACGTGCAGCAATTACTTGATGAATTATCCATTTGTATTTTCTTTTTTCGGTTACCTTTGACATCCGTTTTTGTGCATTTAAATCTTAGATTAGAAGAAATTTTGCATTCCTTAAGAAAACACATAATCTCTTTTTTTTTTTGGATTAAAAAAAATGATAAGGATTCTTTAAGGTGTCTTTAATTAATATTGATGAGTAACGTGACAGGCTCAAGGATAAATTCGGAAACAAAAGCTGGAAACAATTGAACAATACAAGTTGACATAAGCGAGGTGGAATGAAAAAAAAAAATGAATTTGCTTATGGAATAATCAAATAATAATTCTATACGCAAATTAATTCTGATTTTTTTTTAAATTTCAAAATTAATTTTTTTGTACTTATATGATTTTCCTTTGTGTGAGCAAATATGATTAATAATAATTACTATATAAAATATTTGTAATGCATACGAAATGGCATTTTTGTCCACTTTTTCCAGACATGAATCAGAATAATTCAAAAAAAAACTTATTAAATATTAATTAAAGAAATCCATATTAGAATGACATAAATAATCCGAATTGATCGGATTAGCTTCGTTGATTATTAAACACGTAATTAAAATTTTTAATCTCATACTTAACATAAATTGATATTTAAAGTCTTAATATGATTAGTCATTATTATTATTCCAATTCATTAGCATCTATTATGTTTTTTTGTTTAATACAAGTCGCGTTTTTTTATGCATTTAAATTAATTGCAACACAAGTAATGTTTATTTTTAGTTCTAATGAAAATCGCAAAGTCGAAACGCAATCATCAGAAATATTTGTATAATAGTTATAACTTAATTTGTGCATCCATTTATCGCTGATGACGTTCACTTCGTGCCGCACCATTCAGAACTACTTCAATTGCCTTCGAATCTATTAATCATTTATAATGTAAATAGATTTCAATAGTAATTACCGTATTGAGATTAATCCTATGATTTGCAAAAGCTTTAGAAACTTATTGGTATATTGATCTTTGCTTAAAATGTATTTACGATATTATACACACTGTAATAATTGTTAATTGAAAGAAGCCGTATTAGAAATTTCTCAATTATAAAAAATAAATTTTTGTAATATTTTATATACATTATTATATATGAAAATATTCTTTAAATTTTACTGCTTTCACATTATTGGATAATTTGCAGTTAACTTTAGTCAACTTTAAGTTTGTGTAACTATTAGAATAATAATGTTTGTACCTTTTTAAGAAAGGAAATAAGTTAGTATTCATTTTGATTGAACTTTATAGTATTTTAATAAAATAGGTTAGTATACCTATTGACAATAGTGTGTACGTATCTTTTTAAGAATGAAAATAATTTAGTGTCAATTTTGATTTACTTTTTTAGGAAACCATCATGTCTATTAAAGTTATAGTATTTATACAATTTAGGTAAGTATACATGTATACATATCCATATAAGTGTACCTATAAGTATACCTAAATTACGTATCTTTTTAAGAATGAAAATATAAATATAGCATAAATTTTGAATTAATTTGATACACATGGTTACACATTATGACTATGTAAAACAAAATACTCTTCAAATGCTAATGTCAATTCAAATGTCGTTCTTGTCGATGACAGATGACAGCTGTGACAACCATGAGTAGTATTTAAACAAAATAGGTAAGTGTGTCTATTTGAATCGGTGTGTACGTATCTTTTCTAGAATAAAAATAATTTCTCAACTTTTGATTTTATTGCACTTCCTTACACATGGTAATATATAATCTATTTAAAATAATATAACTTTCAAATCTAAGTGTCACTTCAAATGTCATTACTATCGTTGGCATATGACTACTATGATAACTAATTGAATTTATAGTAGTATTAACTTAGTATTTAACTTACTGCACTTATTAGAAAAATGACAACCAATTGATTTTATAGTATTTAGCCAATTTAGATTAGTGCACTTATTAGAAAAAGTATGAATATATCTTTTTAGTAATGAAAATAATTTAGTGTCAGTTTTGATTTCAGTACATTTTGTTATAAATTTTAAAACAGTATATCTTTCAAATGTAAGTGTCACTTCAATTGTTATTGCCAGATGACAGCTATAATAACCAATTATAGGATTTTATAGTACTTAGCCAATTAAGATTAATGCTTTTATTATAAAAAAGTGTGTATATATCATTTTAACAATGAATATAATTTAGAGTCAGTTTTTATTTCAGTACATTTCGTTACAGATATTAAAACAATATATCTTTCAAATGTAGTGTCACTTCACATGTCATTGCTATCGTTGACAGATGACAGCTATGACAACCAATTGGTTTTATAGTATATAGCTAATTTAGATTAGTGCACTTATTAGAAATTGTATGTATATATCATTTTAAGAATGAATATAATTTAGTATCAGTTCTGATTTCAGTACATTTCAAATGTAGGTATCACTTCAAATGTCATTGGTATCGTAGACAGATGACAGCTATGACAACCAATTATATTGATTTATATATAAAAAGTGTTTATATATCATTTTATCAATGAACATAATTTAGAATCAATTTTGATTTCATTACATTTCGTTACACATATTAATGCATTATGTCTATTTAAAATAATATACACTTCAAATATTAGCGACATCAAAAGTCATTTTCATCTCTGTTAGGTCTTAATTATTATTAGTTATATAAGTTGTTATAGATGGAAGCAATAAATACTACAAACGTTGTTCTGTTCACTCGTTTCCATGACTACTTAGTTCATATCATTTCTTAAATCGAATAGTTTTACCCCCATTTGTTATTTTTACTAAAAAATGTGTATACGTTAATTAACTAATTAAAATTAAATATTTTCAAAATTGCATTATTCCATTCCAATATGATAGATAATTGAAAGGAGTTTGAAACTTTTGAATAATTTATATATAATTTAACAAAAACTTTTATTTTTTTTTTTAATCTCAACCCTAAAACATTGATAGAAATACCGGAGTTATGTCATAAAGTCGAACTTTGAATAACATATTCAGAATCTAATCAATATTAGTCTGCAAATGATGGGCTTTGTTTTGGGGCGAAAACAAATCATGTTTGTGACATTTGTGACAGCTCTTCAACATCAAAATCCAAGGGATTCACCATGTCATAGATTTTTAAAGAACATAAATCATTTCATCAGAATTAAAGTTTGTCATGTAATTATAACAATTTTAATACATTTTGTAATTATATTAATAAAAATTATATAATTTTTTCATAGCTATACTTTCTAAGAATGTTTTTGTAAACAAATAGCAAATATTAGCTGTCCACAAAAGCATGTTATAGTTATCAACTAAATAAACTATAGAATGTATAAACTTTTATTAGCTGTCTATGGATATAATTCGCTTCACAACAATCTCTACATTCTGCTTCGAATTTTATCTTAATTCGACCACTTTATATGCAAAGGATCTTGCCTTGTTCCTCCTGCAAGCATATACATATTATAAACATTTTTTTTCTTCTTGTCTATTCCTCAGCTCGATGTTTTACCTTGCAGCGTGTTTTATTTTTTTTTTCCTCTGCACTGATAATATTTGTAACAATGCAATATACCCATTGTGTGTGGGATATTAATAGGCATTTTGAGCTTTATCTGAAGGCATCCCAGTCTCTTTCTTTCTCTCTTTCATCGGCATTGTGTCCATCATTATTAGTTCTAAAAGCACATCGATGCAAATCAACGTGATGGAAATGTACGTAATAATAACCTTACAGACGCAACCAATTAGCGAATACTTTTCTTTCTTCGCTTTTATAACCGCAACAAAAAAATAAATAATAATGATATATTACCCATACATCATACTTATGTTTTATGTTCTTCGCGTTTATGTTAATTGATAATTATACTAATTTTGTATACATTAAATACTAATTTTTCTCCCTATTGATTGATTCTTTAATCCACAATTTCAATACTTTTTTCCTTAATTTAAATACAAAATTACCAATATATAAGACGCATTTTTGTATAAGACGCAATACAATAAATTCTTAAGAGGTTTTAAAGTCCAGGACTAATTCGGTTTCAAACAGGACATTGGAAAAACCACAGTTGTTGCTGTATTTTTACCTGTTTTTACATAAATAAAACACAAGTAATACATATGGGTCAAAATAACCTATTTATGAACAAATTAAATTTTTTACAACAAATTATTATTATTTAGTGAATATAACATCATCAAACTTTTTTTGATCAAATATTGCTGCAATATTTGTATTCGAATAAAAACAAACCCTAGGTGGGTCAATTTGACCTTTCCGTAGTACTTACAGGTTAAGAGCTGCGTTGATTTGCTATTTATAAAACGGCAATGAACTTGAAAACGCAACTTCCGTTCGGAATGCATGTTTTAACGTAAAACTTAAATACTTCTTGGAAGGTTGCGTTTATTCATTAATCGCAAATTGTCCTTGACATTGTTCAAGTGAAAGCTCTTCGGCCGACGGACCGTGCATCATCTGAGCATTGCTTGAATAACTATTAAAGGTTCGATTCGAATCGTCCGTTTTCGTTACTTCATCCTTCTTTTTTCAATAACAATATTTATCAGTTAGTTTAACTATTTGATAGTCCGCAATATCCATATTTAGAGTTTGTTAAACACCCACACCCAATTTGATTTTATTAATAGCTTCGGGAAGCAATAAAATTTGTATGGATTTATGTATAATAGGAATTATCGAATTATTG